CTCCAAATGAGTAGTGATATTCTAAATAGCAACTAACCAATTCAACTAAGCAATGAAAGTTCATAAGTTGTTTTCTCAACTCTCCACTCACTCACAAAAGATGTGTGAGTTTTTTAAAAAAAAGTGCTTAAACTTGATAATTCTCTTGGCTATACATATTGAACATCCATCTAACCACAAAACTTAACATTGTGCGCAAAAGTTTTTTAGAAGTTACTCTTTAATAATCAAGATAGAGAAAGTGACTTAAACCAAGTAATTTTGAAATCATACCTAGGTAGAAAAGTAGAAATAATCATGCTTTGCAAACCCTTTCACACAAGAATTACCAAAGTCTGAGGAATAAGCAATTTTTTTTTCCTTTTTTTTTCTTTTTTTTTTTTTTGAAGAGAATGTATATAAAAAGTGTGCTTAAAATGTGCATGCAATGCTACCACCCCCAACCTAAATGAGATAGTGTCCTCACTGGCATAAAAGAAACAAAGGCAACCCTAAAATTTAATAACTAGGGAAGGAAACCTAAAAAAAACTATAAAAAAAAACTACTAAAAGAAAATAAGAAAAACAAATGATAGTCTGGAAAGATAAAACCTGATTATGTCTCATAGATTGGAGTCACGAGAGTGATCTCCTCAGGTTGGTCTACTCGCTCCACATACTGCTTCAATCATTGTCCATTAACTCGAAAATTTCTCCCATCGATTAGATCCTCAATCTCAACCGCACCATTAGGGAAAACCTGTTTCACCACAAATGGCCCTGTCCATCGAGACCTTAACTTTCCTGGATGAAGGTGCAACCGAGAATCATAAAGATGCACTTTTTGATTTGGCTCAAAGTTCTTCCTTAGGATCTGCTTGTCATGAGCTGCTTTCAATTTAGCCTTGTAGATCCTAGAGTTATCATATGCATCATTCCTCAATTCTTCTATCTCTGATATTTGTAACTTCCTTTGGGTACCTGCAGCATTCAAATCAAAATTAAGTGCTTTAGTAGCCCAATAAGCTTTATGTTCAAGTTCCACAGGCAAATGACATGCTTTCCCATATACAAGCCGATGTGGAGACATCCCAAGAATAGTCTTATAGGCAGTGCAATATGCCCACAGTGCATCTGAAAGGCGCAAAGACCAATCTTTGCGGTTTGGGTTTACCGTTTTCTCTAAAATTTGTTTTACCTCCCTATTGGCTAATTCAACTTGTCCATTAGTCTGTGGATGGTAAGCGGTTGACACCTTGTGAATAACACCATACCTGCGCATCAAGGCTTCAAAAGAACGGTTACAAAAATGTGTCCCTTGATCACTAATAATCACACGTGGTGTACCATACCTAGATAACACATTTTCTTTCAAGAACTTAACAACTACTTTGTTATCATTGGTACGGCAAGGTACAGCCTCAACCCATTTAGACACATAATCAACAGCAAGAAGAATATAAAGGTAACCAAAAGAAGATGGAAATGGTCCCATGAAATCAATACCCCAACAATCAAAAATCTCAATGACTAGAATTGGGTTAAGAGGCATCATGTGACGACGAGTTAATGCACCTAACTTTTGACACCTATCACAGGAACGACAAAAAGAATTAGTATCCTTAAACAAAGTAGGCCAATAGAATCCACATTGCAAAATTTTTGCAGCAGTTTTCTTCATCGAAAAATGGCCACCACAAGCTTCAGAGTGACAAAAGTTAAGGACACTATTAATCTCATATTCAGGAATACACCGTCTCATGATCTGGTCAGGGCAATACTTGAACAAATAAGGATCATATCAATAAAAATTTCTTACCTCAACCAAGAACTTACGCTTATCTTGTGCACTCCAATCCAATGGAATTTCACTAGAAACCAAGTAGTTAACAATGTGAGCATACCATGGAACTTGGCTAACAGTGAGCAAGTGTTCATCAGGGAAGTCATCTCGAATTGGTGAACTTTCAATATTGGAGTCATTAAGCTCCAATCGAGACAAATGATCAGCCACCACATTTTCAACACCCTTCTTGTCTTTAATTGTGAGATCAAATTCCTGCAAAAGTAAAATCCACTTAATCAAACGAGCTTTAGCATCCTTCTTAGATATAAGGTACTTAAGAGCTGAATGGTCAGTAAACACAGTAATAGGTGAACCAATGAGATAAGAACGGAATTTATCTAACGCAAAAACAACAGCTAGTAACTCTTTTTCAGTTGTAGAATAATTCCTCTGAGCACTATTAAGAGTTCTACTAGCATAATATACAACAAATGGCTTCCCTTCCCTTCTTTGGCCTAAAACTGCTCCTACAGCATGGTTACTAGCATCACACATAACTTCAAATGAAAGACTCCAATCTGGTGATTGTATGATCGGTGCGGTAGTTAATTTGGTGACAAGGGTTCGAAAAGCTTCTTCACATTTAGGAGTCCAATTAAACTCAACATCTTTGGCTAGGAGGTTACACAAAGGTTGAGCTATGGCTGAAAAATTTTTAATGAACCTCCTATAAAAACCAGCATGTCCAAGAAAAGACCGAACATCTTTTACTGTTTTGGGTGTAGGTAATTTAGAGATCAACTCCATTTTTGCCCTGTCAACCTCTATTCCTCTTTCAGACACAATATGTCCCAAAACAATACCTGACGACACCATGAAATGACATTTTTCCCAATTAAGCACAAGTCCTTTTTCCTCACACCTAATTAAAACAGTTTTCAAATTAAATAGGCATGAATCAAAAGAATCACCAAAAACAGTCAAGTCATCCACAAAAACTTCCATTATTTCCTCAACCAATTCAGAAAATATGCTAAGCACACAACGTTGAAAAGTGGCTGGACCATTACATAAACCAAATGGCATTCTATGAAAAGCATAAGTACCAAAAGGACATGTAAAAGTAGTCTTTTCCTGATCTTCTAAAGCTATCTCAATCTGATAATAACCTGAATAACCATCAAGAAAGCAATAGAAAGAATGGCCAGCAACACGTTCTAAAATTTGGTCAATAAAAGGCAACGGAAAATGGTCCTTCCTAGTGGTTGCATTTAATTTCCTATAATCAATGCACATGCGCCACCCAGTTACTGCCCTAGTTGGTACAAGAACTCCCTCG